TTTTAGAAAAAGCCTTAAACAGGTTTTCCTTTAGTATTTTGATGAGTTTTTATCCGTTTTTTGTAAAATTTATATGTATGTAGAGCTAGAAATGAGCTGAATAAAACTTTCTTAATGATACAGAGTTGTTGTCTTAGTAAAATTCGGAGAAAATAATAAAGATGTTATATTAATTATTTAAGTAAATATCTTTGCAAGTTGAAGTTTAAAAGATATAAAATTAGGCTCTACTGAAGCAGAATTTTGTGTAAAACAATTTTGCTTAGTGGCTCAGAAGTGGTTTACTTAGTAAAATATTTAGTTATGAACCAATGTTTTTAGGAGGTTTTGGTACAAGTGATTTACAGAAAGAGTTAATAATTTGCGTCCTTGATTTTATCAATTGCAAAGAATTAAATTATTTTAAAAAAAACTTATAAATTTTTCCTAAACAACAACTCTATATCAATAACTCATTGGACTACTGACTATGATTCAAGTCATATAGCCTACTACCCCAACTTACAAATTAACAGTATATCTTACTCAGATTGTAACCAAAACTCTAATCATATTAAGAACCTTTGTACTATTAAGGTATCAGCTACATATAGTACTAAAGTCTAAGTTAGATTTTCTGCAAGTAGTTCTTCTACTAGATTGAAGCTTAATGCTAATATTGTTAACTTAATCTATAATCTAGCAATCAAATACCTATTAACTATCTTACTTCCTCTAAACATCAATTTAGAAACTAACTATACAAATAAAATATTTAAATCTAATAAAATCTCTAAACTCTTATATAATATAGTACTACAAAATTTAAACTAACAAGAGTTTATATTTTATACTGATAGTTTAGTACAAAATATATGTACAGACTAATACTCTATAGGAATTAGCTAAGTTCAAATTACTAATAACCAAATGTCCAAACTTTTGCAACATAAATTAAAACATAGTCCTCATCATACAAAACAAAACTTATTGCAATACTTTCAGCTATAAGTACAGTACTAAAAAACTGCAACATAGAAATTTTTACTGACTCACAATTAGTAATATCTAAGTTTAACAAAGTTCAACAACAAATACAAAACTATAATTCTAAAACAAAATATAATTACTAGCAAATTTAGAAAATATTATTTAATTTTATTAAATTACAAAATATTAATATTACCTTTCATAAGGTTCAAGCTTATAGTAAAAATAAATTTAATAATATAGCAAACTATTTAGCCTCACACTATTTACTTTTAGGATTTCTTGAATTCAACTATACAAATTACTTTAACAATTCTTATATATTTCGATGAGAAAATTTTTTTATTAAACAACTAATACATAAATTTATCAAAAACATCTGCAATGCTTTTACAATTGCTATATAGTCCTCACAATTCAAAGCACAACTTTGAAAACAATTTTCAAAACAAGTTAACTAGAATTTAACTTGAACTGTAATTAATAATAATTTTTCATATTTATCTAACTATACTAATTACAAACTGAGTAGAATCAAAACCTTCTGAGTTAAAAATCTCTTAAACAACCTTCTTATTATATCCTAACTATATACTTATTATCTAAATATCATCAAAACAGAACAATATATCTCTTGTAACCAAACTGATGATAATATACATTGGCTATTTTGCCTAAACTCATAACTAATTTTTGATATAATTAAATCAAATATACAATCTATTTTTATACTAAATAATTTTAATATTTTATTATTACAACTTATATATCTTCAAAACTCTTTTATTAATTATTACTTCTTACAATTACTATAGCCTTTTTTTAACAATATTTCACTTCATTAATTGATTACAGATCTTATACCAAATGACTTAATTCAACTGCTATATCCCTATACAGAATCTTACAAATTAGCTCAACAACTTATAACTTCACTATTTATTAAAATATTTGAATTAGTATATGAGCAATTATGGAAACCCTACTATGCTAAACTTTCTAAATGGAAACAAACAAATAATATTAAACTCTACAAACAAAATTCTCAAACTAATACTATACAACTAAGTCTATCTCTAACTTATCATAGCTCTAGTTCAAATGAAGTTAGTTGTATATGCAGATATTCTAAAAAACAATATAAAAACTCTCTTTGTTCTTCAGAAGGACTAGCATACTATAAACTTTATATTTGGTCTATTGAATAGATTAAATATAGTATCCTAACAAATAACATAATTAATATTAAATCTAAATGAGTCATAACTACTCTAGTAGATTTAGATCACAAATAAACTAAATTAAGTTTTAAATTTTGCTATATAGTTTAAAATTATATCTTGTATTAGTATAGTATATAGAAATTTCTTTTGTAAAATTTTTAATTAAACTATTAATAAAGATAGAAACATAGCCTTATCTTAGCTTTGCTTAAAAAAAAAAAAAAAAAAAAAAAAAAAAAAAAAAAAAAAAAAAAAAAAAAAAAAAAAAAAAAAATAAAAAAAAAAAAAAAAAAAAAAAAAAAAAAAAAAAAAAAAAAAAAAAAAAAAAAAAAAAAAAAAAAAAAAAAAAAAACAAAAAAAAAAAAAAAAAAAAAAAAAAAAAAAAAAAAAAAAAAAAAAAAAAAAAAGATTAAATATAAATGTTATACAATATATAAGCTAGAAGCTATAGAAAAGAAGAAAATCAACAAATTTTCAAAATTTATTTTTTTGCATAAATCAATTTAGAATAAGATTAGAATTATTTTTCTCTTAAAACACAAAAGCAGTTATCTTAATAAAATCTTGCAAAATAGCTTTTTGAAATTTCTATTTTCTTATGATTTATTATAAAATTTATAACATAAAAATTGATTTTCTGAAGATCTTTTTTTTTGTTATTTTCCCCCTTTTCTATAACACCTAGCCCATATAAATCTACAAAAATATAAATATATTTAAATTACATATCTAAGATAAAATTATCCTAAAAGAATAAACAGAAATCAGGTAATTTTGATTTATTATAATGATTTACTCTTTCTCTTCTACCTGACTAGTTATACAAGCTTATCAAATCAAATCACTTCTATTAAGACCTGACTAAACTGCTATACTTCCTTCTTCTCTAAGAAATCAGCTGTAAATTCTATAATATATCTAAGAATTTTGTTATATCTAAATTTCTAAAACTCATTTTTTTTAGTATTCTTAGATATATAAAAACCTAAAAATAATGAGTTTTGTGAAAGTTCTCTACTATGATAAAAGTAAAAAAAATTTCTAAAAATTTTCACCTATATAACTTTATATATCAATTTCAAAACTTGCTCCATTGAGGACATTTGTACTATATAATCATGACTTGTATTTATTCATATTTATAATTTTAATTCCACTGATAAATCATCTTTATACTCAGACTAAATTAATGCGAATGAAATGATTTGAAGGGTATTAGGTAATTAATTGTAAATAAGTATTGAGATAAGTATTTATGAATAAGTATTTATGTTCATGATTTTAATTCCACTGATTAACGTTAACAAATCATCTTTATACTCACCGACTAAATTAATTAGATAAAAGATTGATTTGTTATAGAAATCTGAGATACATAAGAGGTTAACTCATAGATAAAATATTGTCGCTGTTTGCAAAAAGGTGTGATCATATTGGCCGATTTGGGGTTTGGGCCTTTTTTTAAACACTATATCTTGTATGTTGAAAGCCCGTCGAACCAATAGACTCACCCTAAAACCAATGGTTTTTTAGGCTTTTTTACTATTTAAAAGCCCGCCAAAGCAATGGACCAACCATAAAACCAATTGTGTTTTTTTCAAAGAATTAAACGGAAACTATTATCAGAGTTAATTGGAGTATAAATTAGCTGATATCGATATAGTAAATCATACAGAATAAATTTTGGGGGTCGAGCCAAATTAAATTGGCCTATGATTTTTGCGATGATGCGGGGAATTTTTAATAGAGAATTTAATAGAGAATCTATGTAATAATTTGCAATCGTACTTGAAATCAGTAACCCTATCAGAAATTCGTCAAATTTTTTATTTATTGATTTTTTTTTTTGGTTTACTTTGAAAATATTATTTTTACTATAGCATATACTAATTTCAAATATGATTGCAATTATTACGTAGATTCTCAATATTTAAAATTCCCCCCACATCATCACAAAAATCGTGGGTCACACCTTTTTGCAATCAATAACGATAAGTTTACAAAACAACTGCAAAGAATCTAAAGACAAATTTGCATAAATTAAAATTTCCAGTTTAAAATAAAAATTTCCAGTTTAAAATTTTATTTAGATTCTTGATATCATGTTTCTTACACGTTATAACCTAAAATGTTAAGTAAATTTAAGGCGTAAATAATTTTAAGTAATTATGTAATGTGTATATTACCGAATTCCTTTTATAGATTAAGCAGTGAGTTGAGATAATTTAATAAATACTCGCTGTAATACACGATAAAAAATTTCAAGATTCAAAGATGATAAATTATCGAGAAAGTAATTCTTGGTTATTTTGGGTGATCAAATTAACAAATAAGCCAGGTTATGGCTGGCCGGTACCATATCTATATCATTTTATTGCTTTGTAATGACTGTATTTAATAAATGAATTTTAATCAATTTTTTTCTCAGGATATTTTTCATTGGAGAAATGCCGTAAGTATTTATCTTTTAAATAGTTCATGAAATGCTATGCTATAAACTTTATACTTAAAAAACTTTCTTTTATAGGTATTTGTAACAATTTTTCCAGTAGTTGCTAGTTCTACAATATTCACTTCTATTATATGTATCCTTTACATTGTTTATGACATTGATTTGACACTTCCAGAAATTATAAGTAAGTATAAATTGGTTGATTAGTGTTCTAAAATTAATCTAATAAATAAATTTTTTTTTTTTTTTTTTAGTTGGAACTGTTTCTGTTGTAGTTGGTCTTCTCCTCGCTTTTCGCACACATCATGCTTATGATCGATATTATGAAGGTCGAAAATTATTTAGTAGTTGAATTAAGTTATTAAGTATAAGATCTGTAATAGATTAATAAAGTAAAATATTGTTAGAAAAAGGTTGTGGTAATTGTAAGGAGTAGTGATTAATAAAAGAGTTTTAAAGATATATAAGTTGTGATGATAAAATATCAAAGATTATCTAATATAAGATTAGATTGTATATTTGATTTAATTATATCGAAGATTAATTGTAGATTTAGACAAAATAGCTAATGTATGCTATTATTAGTTTAGTTACAAAAAATATATTGTTTTGTTTTGATAATGTTTGAATAATAAATATATAATTAGAATATAGTAGAGAGGTTGATTAAAAGATTTTTAATTCAGAAAGTTTTGATTCTACTTAGTTTGTAATTAGTATAGTTAAATGAATATAAAAGATTATTATTAATTATTGTTTAAGTTATATTCTAATTAACTTGTTTTGAGAATTGTTTTCAAAGCTATGCTCTAAATTGTGAAGACTATATAGCAATTGTAAAAGTATTGCAGATATTTTTGATAAATTTATATGTTAGTTGTTTAATAAAAAAGTTTTTCTATAGAGTCTGATAATCTTAGTATAGTAGTTAGGTTGCTAGACTACTATACAAGAGGTCTGGAGTTCAAATCTCACTGTTAATGAATTTGAATAATTACTCAGATCTTTGTACTCAACTTATGGTAAACTCTGTTTATTTCTGGAGTTGTAAACCTGTAAATCATATTGTACTAATATCATTCAGATATTAGAAGTATGACAAAATATTTAGTGAGATGTAATATTATACAAATAAATCTTAATAGAATCTACGGACAGAGGACCTGCATAGTAGAAATCCTGAGTTAGTGAAGTAGTACAGCCTTCGATAGTTATACTAGCTAATACTTGATTCAGAAAGAAAACTATCATCAAAAGATGCAGATCGAATCAGATACATATAAATTTGTTCTATAAGGAGAATTGGTAACACCAATTTAGCTTAGCAGCTAATTGAATTAGGAAGATCTGCCTTGTGAAATATCTAAGATTATAGAATACAAAAAACTGGTAAAGAGCTATAGTAGGAACTAGGGTTATACAAACATCTACAAGGGTCTAAGCTAGGTAAATCTATAAAATAGATACGGACTACTTTAGTAGGTATGTTTTGAGGTTAACTAGCTCTGTAATACCTACAATACATTAAGTACAATGTATTCTAGAAGAACCTAAACTGTTCTGAATAAATAGATCTGTAATAAGCTAGCTAGCTTAAGTGGTTAGATATTGCAGTGATGTCAGATTGGATCTGTATGGGTTAATAAACAGAGTGTTTAAATAGGTAACTTACAGAAGGGTTACAGGTATAGCAGCATAGTGTAGAACTAATCAGGTAGTCTAATCACTTGTGCAGCAGACTACTTAAATTAGACAATGATAAAGTTGTATATGTAGCTTGTTATATACTCTTCATATAATTACAAATAGTAGAGACTATCAATATATATCCTGTATGCAATTCTAATAAAATTTCTTCAGCAATATAAGCTGCCTTAATAACAAAAAAAAAAAAAAAGAAAAGTTTTTCTATTAAAGTATATAAAAATTGTTGAAGTAATTTGTATAATTGAATTTAAGAAATTTTAGAAGTAAGTGGTATAAAACTAAGTAGTCTGCTGTATTATTAAATTTATTATCACTATAAGTTTAAACCTTATAAAAAATAATGTTGATATTTTGTGATTTAATAAAGTTAAATAAAGTTTCTCAAATTTGCTAATAGTTATATTTTGTTTTAAAGTTATAGTTTTTTGTTTGTTGTTGAGCTTTGTTGAACTTAAATATTACTAATTGTAAGTCAGTAAAAATTTGTATATTGCAGTTTTTTGGTATTGTACTTATAGCTAAAAGTATTACAATAAGCTCTGCTTTGTATGATGAAGGCTATATTTTGATTTGTGCTGCAAAAGTTTGAACTATTTGGTTGTTGATAATTTGAACTTAGCCAATTCCTATAGAGCATTAGTTTGTATATATATTTTGTACTGAACTATCAGTATAAAATATAAACTCTTGTTAGTTCAAATTTTGTAATGCTATATTGTATAAGAGTTTAGAGGTTTTGTTAAGTTTAAATATTTTATTTATATAGTTAGTTTCTAAATTAATATTTGGAAGAGGTAGAATAGTTAATGGATAACTGATTGCTAAATTGTATATTGAGTCTATGATATTAGCATTAAGCTTTAATCTAGTAGAAGAGCTATTTGTAAGAGACTTAGTCCAAACTTTAGTACTATATATAGCTAATACCTTAATAGTATATAAGTTTTTAATACTATTAGAGTTTTAGTTACAACCTGAGCAAGGAATACAGTTAATTTGTAAGTAAGAGTAGTAGACTATATGACTTAGATTATAGTCTGTAGTCTAGTAGATTATTGATATAGAGTTGTTATTTAAGAAGAATTTATAGGCTTTTCCTAAAATGATTTAATTATTTGTAATTGATAGAATCTATAGTTTTTTAGCTTTAAAGTGATCTGTACTTAATAGAAAAGGATTAGAAGAGTTTAGAAATATTGATTTTATAATTTTTTTAATATATAAGTTTGTTGTAATTGTTTCTTCTAAAAAAGAAAACAATAAAGGCCATTTTTCTTTAGATAAGTAGTAAACTTATAAAGAGATATATTGCTATTTAAGAAGAATATTGTTTTCAAAGGTTATGAGTTGATCTAAATAAATAATATTCTTCTTGCAAAATTGTTGTTTAAATGTTGAGTAAAGTGAATATTTGTTAAGTATTTGTTCTAATAGATATGTATTAAGTTAATAGGTTTTTAGTTACTAATAGTTATTATTAGCAGTAATAACTATATTCAATAAATTGAGAAGTTTAATGATTTTGTAAGTAGTTGTATATTTGTTATATCTATTAATCAGTGGATTTAAATATTGAAGGAAGTTTATGGTAGACTACAAATTGTTTTGAAATTGTTGAACTCATATTTGAGTAGATAATTCTAATAAATCAGAATTATTAAAGCATGCTAAAAAGTTAGTTATATAATGTTGTAGTTGAATATTTTAGATATTTTTGATACTATATATATTATAATTAAGTATAGTACTATTGGGAAGTGTTTTGGAGTAACTTGCTTTATGTTTTATAACTATAAGATATTTTGATAAGATTATTTGATATATTATTAAGGAAATAACAATATTTTGTATTTAGTATTCTAAGGTTAAGATAATAACTTTGTTAATGATATAACTAGCTTATTTGTCTATAATATTTTTTAAATTTAGAATATTAGCAAGAGAGAAGGATTCTTTTGATATTAGATTAATTTGAGCTTTTTGGTTATTGTTTAATGTAAACTAGTAGCCAAGAAATTTGAATAATATTTTTATTGAGATTAGTATAATAGAAAAATTAATAAATTGAATACTATAAAGATCTATAGTATTAGAGAATAGAATAAATTTGATAGGATTGACTTGAATATTTGCCTTTTAAAAAAAAAATATAGCAATATCAATTATTTCAGTGAGTTGTAATTTGAACTTTGCGACTCACAGTATATTATTCATATATACTAAAACTGATATATTAGTATAAATTTTATTTGGCTTAGTTTGTTATATATTTTCAGACTATATTGTAGACATTTAGTAGCCTTTTATTTCTCTAGCAACTTTTGTTATAAGAAGGTCATTATAACTTTACCAGAAAAGTAGTATTATTGTTTCTCCTTAGTCAATACTATTTTGAATCTAGTATAAGTTTGTAAGCTCAGAGTTAGTAATAACTTTGTTTATTTAGTTAAGAAGGAGATTAGTTAGAATATTAATTAAAGGTTCTAGAAATTGAATTTTTTGAAGAGCTAGTTTAAAGAAATTAAAGTTAACTAAGTTATATGTTTTGCTCATATTTTGAGATAAGAGCCAAAGTTCTTTTTCATTATATATTGCATCCTCTATAATATTGTTTAAAATATTAATTAGTATATTAGTACTATTACTAAATAATATAATATAATTAAAAGGTGATAATATATTGTATTTTGTTAAAGTATTATTAAGTTGATTAGTTAGTAGTTAGGTATAAAGTTTTTTCACATGTTCAATTAGACTAATTGGTCTTGTATTTGATAAATTTCTATCAAATGATATTTTTTTAGATATTAGAAGATATAATCATAGGTCTGATAATCTTAGTGTAATGGTTAGGTTGTCAAACTACTATGTAAGAGATCTGGAGTTCAAATTCCACTGTTAATGAATTTGAATAATTACTCAGACCTTTGTACTCAACTTATAGTAAACTTTATCTATTTCTGGAGTTGTAACCCTATAAATCACATTGCACCAATATCATTTGGATATTAGAAGTATGATAAGGCATTTGAAGAGATGTAATATTATACAAATAAATCTTAATAGGATCTATAAACAGAGGACTTGTATAGTAGAAATCCTAAGTTGGTGAAGTAGTATAGCTTTTAACAGTTATACTAGCTAATGCTTAATCTGAAAAAGAAACTGTTACTCTAAAAAAGTAGATCAAAAGAGGTATAAGTAAATCTGTTCTATAAGGAGAATTAGCAATACCAACTTGGCTTGGCAGCTAACTAGATTAGGAAGATCTACCTTATGAAATATCTAAAGAGATTAGCAAACAAAAAACTAGTAGAGAGCTATAGTAGAAACTGGGGTTGTATGAATATCTACAAGGGTCTAAGCTAGATGAATCTGTAAAATAGGTATGGACTACTCTAGTAGGTATGCTTTGAGGTTAACTGGAGCTCTGTGGACTCACAATATATTGAGCAATGAATATTCTGAGAGGATCTAAGCTAGAGTTGAAAAATGGATCTATAATGAGCTAGCTAGCTTAAGCAGTTAGATGTTATAGTGACATTAGTTTGTAACAGTATAAGTTAGTTAAACAAAGTGTTTAAATAGATAACTCATAGATAGGTTACAGGTATAATAGCATAGTTAACTAATTGTTTATTGAACTTTATTAATTAGTATTAGCTAAAGGATATTTGAGTACTAATATGCTTGAATATCAGTTTTAGAAATATATTCTGTAGTCTAGTTAATATTAAAGATATTAGAATTAATTGGTTGATGAGCTGTTTAATTATTAAAATAATTTTAGATTATTTGTTTAATAGACTCTAGTTCAATAATAAGTTCATTATTTGTTTTAATATTATCAAATCTAACTAGATTTTTATATCTATTAAGTATACTATTAATTATTTTAGTTAGGTTTGTTTAAATATTTTTATAATATTTGTTTAGAGCTTTATAGATCTGCTCTTGAATTGCTTTATTGTTTTCAAAGTTACGAGTATAGAACAGAGTCTTCTAATACTGTTTAGTAATATTAACCTAGTTAGCAAGTTGTATTATAAATTAAGGAAGTGATAAGATATAAAACTCATATTTAGAGTTGAGTTGTTAAATTGTAGTAATTAAATATTGTGATATAGGTAGTGTATTGCCAATAATTTTTTTAATAGTTTGAATTATATTTTCTAGAGCTTTGAGATCTTGATATAAGTCAGAATATTTGCAAAAGTAGTATTAGAGATACTAGTTTGTATTTTGTACTAGCTCTTTTCTAGTGATTCTGTTTGAATTGAGTTTATAGATATTTTGTTTGTATTTAGATTTGATAAGACTAAATTTGTGAAGTCTTTCCATGATTCAGAACTCATTGATTTGTAGTTAAATATTCTATGTCAAATATTAGTTTTGTATCTGGTTTTGTTTTGAAAAGCAAAGAAAAAGGACCAAAATGATATAAGGATTTGATGATCATTATTTGATATGATTTCTGAGTCTGTAAGTAAAAAGTTTAGAAAGTATAGAATAGTAGAGTAATGTATTTATATATAGTCTATTCAACTATTAAAATAACTACTTTGCCAAGTATGTTAGTTAGTTAATATATAATCAGCTAGATTATATATATTTTGGCTTTGTAGATAGAAGAGTAGTTTGGTTTTAGTAAAATAAGAGACTTGGTATTCTGTATTTGAGTTAAAATCTCCTATAATAATAGAAAGTAAGTTAGTAAATAAGGCTTCCTAAATTCAGTAAATAACTTTGTTTTGTGTTGCTTGTCTAATTAATAAATTTGTATTTAATATTATACAGAATTTAAAGTTATTTTTGAAAAAGAGGTCAATAGTAATAGCTTCTTCTAGATGTATATAGATATTATAAATATGTAGTTTAATTATATTATTAATTATAATACAGATACTCTCTGTAGAGATCTCAAAGTTAGCTCAAAAATAGGTGAAGTCTCTTGTATTAAAAAATTGAAGTATGATATGTTAAGCTGATATTTTTGTTTCTATAAGACTCACAATATATAAATTATAAGTAAAACAATACTCTTCTCATAATTTTCTTTTTAATAGTTAGTTATATCCTTTTATATTATGTGTTGTAATATTAAGTAAAAATGAGTTGTTAGAAGATTGAGATCTAATTAATAGATGAAAAAATTTAAAGTAATTAGTAGAATGAAATATAGTATAATATAGTAATAGTGGATCAAGAATATTAGTATAGATATATATTTCTTTAAGTAAAAAATTAATTGAATTTTTTTTTTTTTTTTTTTTTTTTTTTTTACAACAAAGCTTTAATATCAGTTAATTTTTATTAGATAATTTGTAGATTTATATTGGTTAGTGAGAATACAATTAGTCACATATATAACTTTAATTATTATCTATTTAAAGGTAGGGTCTTTTTTAGTAGGTTACACAATATATATATTAATATTGATCATAGTCCAATATTTGTTAAAATCATTAAATTCTTACTTAGTAATAAGAAAAACAATCAAAAGTATGTAAGAAAACATACGTGTTATATTAAATAGCTTACTCTATATTTTAAAGCTATTTTAGTGCCAATTAGTTAGTACCTTTTACAAGTTTGCTTATATATTAGTATACGAATAACTTGCTAATTCTCAATACCTGATGTTAATTATTGTTTAATTTTGTAGTATTGTTCAAATCAACAGTTTTAACTGATTTTTTATAAAATACTATATGTGTTTAATATGGTATGAATAAAAAAATTAAGAAATTTATTCAGAAAATTTTGTAATTTATTTTAAAAATTATTGTATTATATATTATTAGTATCTAAAAATAGAATTGGTTGTTCATTTAATATCTAATCATTAGAGTAATTGCAAATAGATTCAAAGACTTTTAGAGCTTAACAGTAATCGAATAAAATATAAGTGACAAACAAAAAATTTGTTTGTTAGTGAACAATCAAAATATCTTCAATTATTGCTACAACATGCAACGCTTCCTAATAACTATGATAAAACAAATAAACAATCGAGTTTATATCAATTATTAATAGTTAATGGTATCGAACCTGATATAAATGAAAAAGTTTATGTACCTTTAATTCCTGGTTATACAATATATACATATTATGGTGTTTATTTAAAAATTAGTTTTGAATTGAACGAAGTTCAACAAATGATTTTTTATAAATGGATAGATTATAGAGATGATTAGAAATTTATAACCGAACAAAAATCTCAATCTTTACTAGATAATTTAAACAGTTTGTGAAATCATTTACAATTAGCTCCAATCAAATATAAAGGTACATTATTAATGATATGTATTCTTGGATTTAATTGTAAAGAAAACGTAGAATGGCTACGGGGATATGTTAATAATACATATTCAAACTTATTTGAATATGCTAAAAAATTATTTAATGCAGAAAAAAAACGTATTACAATGATTAATTCAGCAAAACATAAGGCACATAAACTAGAAAGTAGTGAAGATATTCAAGCTGGGCTTCCAATAAAAGCTGAAGGCTAGAATACTTCTAGTTCAGTTACTCAAGCATTAGGAATTCAATTTCAAGAAGTACGTAATGAATTAAAAAATACTAAAAAAAAATTACATCAATCATTAGAAACTATTCAAAAGCTAAATGCAGAGTTATGTTCTAATATAGATTCTGAAAGGTAAAATATATAATTATTATATATAAAGTATATTGAATACTACATATAAAAACTCAATAATTTTATATAGTGAAGGAACTATTAGGGATGAAAATAATGAAAATTCCAATTTTTCCTCTACTAATACAATTCAATTAATGGTTGACAACTTAATTAAAAATGGAAAATTAGGATCAACAATATTCATAAATACAGACATATATTTAACATTAATACTAAACTAACAATGTCCTATTTGTTATACTACTGAAATTACTAATAAAAAGCCCTCGATAACAGTAAATGGATTAGGAATTAAAATTATAATTAAATGTCTAAATTGTAAAGCAACAACGGAACATAGTAATAAATCACCTGAAATAGATTTTTCAACAAGTATAGCTGTAGCAGGATTAGTTGGTGGTATAAATCGTGAAGAATGGCAATCTATGCTTGCATTAGTTAGAATCACACGACAAAGTGGTAAATCACAATACTTTGCTAAACAAGATAAACTTTTTGATGGCTTAAAAAATGAAGCAGTTAATTTAGCTCAAAAAGTATTACATAAAGTTCTTGATAAATTAATTGAAAACAAACAATTTAATTTAGAAGTTAGTTTTGATTGCCAATGGAATCATATTCGTGAAGCACCAGCAGCTAGTGGTGAATTTATATATAATGGATTTTTAAATGGTAATTAAGTATAAAATATAAAGTAAATTAAAATAAATAACTAAAATAATTTTTACTTACTATTAGAAAATGATCATAAACCTATTATTAGTTTTCATGTTACAGAAAAATCTAGAAAATATTAAAAAACTAATAGACAAGTAGTTACAATTAATGAAGGCAACCATAATGGTAGTTCTAGTACTATGGAACATTCAATATTAATTACTATTATTGAACAAATATCACCAGTACTCAAAACTTCAAAAATTGTTTTAGATGTCAGAATTGATGGAGATTTAAATAGTAATAAAACACTTGGTACTCAAAAAATCGTTTATAAAATTTGTGCTAATTTAAAGCATAATGCAAAAAATGTTAGAGCAAAAATAGGTAATAATTTTTTAATTTATAGAAATTACATGTATAATAAATAAATAAATTTATATATAAATACCTTTTATAAAATTAGCCAAAAATAATAAATGGAAACATCTTGAATCACCAATTATGAAATATTACATTCAATGTGTATATGCAGCAACTGCACGTGCTAATGATCCTAATTTACTAACTCCAACTGAACAAGATTTGTTTAAAATGCAAACTAAAGGTGTAATAGCACATTTGCAAAATAATCATGATGATTATTGGAATGAAGTTTGTTGGTTTACAGAAAATCCTGATATAATACTTCCTGAACCAAATTTAATACTATATACTAAAAGTCAATGTGAAGCTTTGTTAAAAGACTTAAAACAATATATGAAATTAACAGAACAAGGATTAATAACTACAATTCGAACAAGTGCAAATGAAGCAGTAAATCGTATTAAATTAAAGAGGATTTCTATTTGTACCTGGTGGGTACAATACCCACCCTGAATTACATGATACTGTTATATTAAATTCATCACATGTACATATCAGATATATAAATTTAATATTCTATATTAGTATACTGCATATGTATATACGTATGTATTATGACTTATACCCTTTAAAATTAAGATTTTTATCTTGACATATATTAATCATTTTATTTCGTATTACTCTATGGAAAAGTTAGAAGTAAAATTCATTGCTTCTCAACAGAATCAAATTCTAATTGATAAAGTCGATTAATTAAGTCTATCTTTTATATCCAATACTTACTGATTTATTCAAATCTCCATAAACCTAATTTTGTAATGCTACTTGAATATTTAAATGCAAATTGTCAAGGTTATAACATAATGAATATATCAGTATTCTAAAAGTTACTTTTAGAGTACCCGCTATATAAAGCATCACTTACGAATTTTAACAAGTTATTAGAAATTGATCCATATGATACAACCTTATTTTTTCATAAAGAAATCTATCACTCGCTATATAAAGTGTTGCTTACAAACTTTAACAAGTTATTAGAAATTGATCTATATGATGCAAACATATTATGTTTTATAAAGAAACTTACCACTTGTTACATGAAATGTCACTTACAAATTTTATCAAATTATTAGAATCCATATTATGTAACATATTTTCACCATCACAAGATGAATTCGAAAAATTTCATGAAATAATATAGCAAGAAATAAAATTTGAAACTTTTATATGACATTATCAAATAGTTTTCAAATATGAGCGAAGCTAGACTTTTCCCATCACTGTTGAGTACTGTAGATTGTTAATTAGTCAGTTATTTTTTATAATAAAGATTAGATATCTATACATACAAGAAATTGATATCTCACTTAATGCAGTAATAATATTTATACCAAGATCATATCAATATATCTATTATTCACTTTCGAATTAGAAATTTTGAACCTAAAAAGAGCTAATAATATAGAGTAAAATTATAATCATAATCAGCTAATAATCCTATTGTTACATATTAATTAACTCAGTTGAAAAAATTAGACCAATATAAGATCATAATAATTAGACGCTGCCTTTCTGTGTAAACAATTCAATACTTAATTGATATGTTACATAACAACAATTATACTCGAATCTAAACTAATTTGTGTATTTTTTAGCATAATGATCTATTTGTTTGCACTTACTACATTTTCGACCATTTGTAGTTTCCTTATTTCTCACATATTCATTAGTTATATTATCCCGCCCATAAAAAACCTTGGATTGAGTTGTTTCAACACTAGACTTATATCTCTTCGGTGGCCTTCCTTTATGTCTTGTTATTGCAGGATTATATATTTCTACATCAATAGTAGTTTCATGTTCAAGTGATTCCATTTTTGATTTAGCATTGGCTATGAAGCCTTTTAAAAGCATATTAAGTTCTTTACACATATCATTTTGAATTGCTAAATCAATGACCTTTTTAGAAAGTCCAGATAATTGCGCATACTGGATTCTAGGTCCCTCAGAAGTATTACTAGAAGCATTATTATAAGTTCTATTTCGAGTTAACATTAAATAGTTCAATGTAACTTGCTGCATTGGTAATGTAGCTGTATTATCTGTAGTTCTTGAAAGTTGAATAGGGATAACTTGAATAAGAAGGTCATTCTCTGAAACATTTGGATTTGCATACCAACGCGAAGGGATAAGGCTAATATGAAACATTGCAAAGCTTGAGTAGGTTCCAACACGGAAAAAATGACGGCAAACAATACCTTTGTTAATTAATATCATACAGGTGCAAAGGTGTGTGCCGTTATTAAGTAGTATAATATAATTGCTGATTCCTAAACTTCCAGTTCGTTTAACGCGCCAAACTTAAATTATTTGTTCAACAGAAACATCTTCAATTAAAGAACTAAAAAGAATTTGAGAAGCATCATATTCCAATTCCCTATACCCTATATCTAGCCTTTCATTATTATCATTATACTCTTGTTCTGGAATAATATTATACCATCATTTAATAAGACAAACATCATAACACAATGATTCATTAATTTGACTTCGCTGTTTTCCAAGAATAATTGGATTGAGATAAACTTTTATCATCTCATCCACCTGACTAAAAAATTGTTCAGAAATTATAGGCAACCCAATTTTTGGTACAGCATTCCTTTGGATTTCAAATTTTTCAAATATTTCTTCACTATTGCTTTGCTCATTAATCTTATACAATAAATCAACTAATGATGTTACACAGTCTACCTTATTATGAATAAGATTGTTGACTGATTCTATCTATTGGGTATTCTGTATCCCTGCTGTAAAGTATTTACTAATCCATGCTATGGCCTAAGATTCCTTATTGCTATATAATATTTCAGTCATATATTTCTCAACAGTAGAGTATTTCTCAATTGGCAATGACCATTAAATTTCAAACAACTTTATTGAAAGACTGTTACGACATACATAAAATTGTTTGCGAAATTCATCAAATTGTTGACCCAATTTACTCTTCAACTTTTTTCACAAATTTAAATCAATATGAAATATACATAAAAAATGGTTAGTTTCTGGAAATATATGTTTAATAGCTCCTATAATGGCCGGATCAGAATCAGTAAAAATAGATTTTGGATAAATTCCAGTTTCTTTATGCAAAATATCAAAAATCCAATTAAATGACTCTTGAGTTTCATCTTCAAGAAATGCAGTAGCTATAATACGTGACTTATAATTACCATCAACAACAATTATCATACATAATATTAAGTGAAAACGGTTTGTATTAGAGGTAGTATCAAGAATAATCACATCGTGGTACTGCAAATATAAGTCCAACTGTGAAGGTGACATCCACATAATTGATATTAGACATTTGGAAATACTATCAATTCGGGGCTTAACAACCCATCTTGGATTATCATCCTTCCATTGTAATAGTATTTGTAACATTTGTGAAGCGTCAAAATCACTTGGATTATTTTGTTGGCGAAATTTGTATACTAAATTATATAAATCATGCTTATTTATTGTATGTTCAGAGTAGTCATGACTGAGTAAAGGGTATATTAAAGAAGAATCTATTCTTGCTGTAATTGTATACTTTTTAACATCTGCAATCATTTCAGAGGTAAATTTGCGAAATTGTGGTGCTATCTCTTTAATCATGGGATTCATAGAATGATTATGGACGTTATGAAAAGAAGTAACTTTAACAACCCCACTAGATTTAGGAAATGAGAGATTAACTCGCCAAGGGCATTCAATTCTTTGTGATGAGGTACTGCGGCATTTAGTTGGATCTACTGTAACCTGCGCATCATATTTTCCAGATTTGGAACAATCATAAGTAAGTCTTCTAACGATGCCATTATCCAATTCACTTCTTCTGATCTTATAGCTAAATCCTTGTTGGAGAGCAAACATATCAAACCATTTCTTGACATGTTCCCACGTTTCAAATGTTAATTCAGTGTAAATGTTTGGAGTTTGCGTATTTTCATCTTGTGGTTCTTCAAGTCTCTTATTTTCTTGATCAGAAAATCGGCTATCTTGAAAGTTATCCTCTTGCGATAGTAAGTCATCTTCTAAGTCAATGTAGTTAGTGCTCATTTTGAATAAAAACAACTTCAGTAATAAACAAAAAAAAAAAAAAAAAAGAATGCCTATATTTATGAAGTTAAAAAATGACTATTTGCATTTAAACTATAATAATATGTCAAAATCATGTGATATTACACTCATATAATTTTGGTACGCGTCAATAAGTTTACTGCAAAAAAGTCTAATAGCTATAAAGCGAAATATAAGTTGATTTTAAAATAACCAGATATAAGTCAAGGTCAGGTGCGATAAAATAAAGACAGAATCTAAAATTTTGTATAAAGCCGATAAAGTTTCGATCAATCAAATATTTACGTGTTGTCTAATTGTAAAATAATCGATAATAAGTCAAATGTTTTTAAGATCTGGTGTTTCAAGATATTATGTAACAAACAAATATAGAACAGGAAAAATTGACGATATGGTACATATACACGTACTAGCAAAGATACTATAATATAATTGTAGATCTGTATTTATATTGATTTTGTGTAACTGGGTATCAAACCCTATGAGTAATTTTAGTTATTTTCATAATTAAAATAATTTTTTTTTTTTTGTATATTGATAAAAAAAAAAAATTTAATTATATAAAATTTAATTTTTAGAGAAAGTGACCTGATCAGATTATTAAATTAAAGTTTTAGAATTTTTTTAAGTCTATTAAATGAAAAATTGTTTACTTAACTTTAAAGATATCTCAACCAAATATAATAAAAATTATTCAAAATAAAAAAATTATCAATTTAGTGAAGTGATTATCAAGATATCTTCGATCAAAATTAGAAAAAAAGTAATAAAATAAAGGTGATCTTGTAAATATGCAAATTAAACAATATATTTATTATTAAATAGCTTTAAAAAAATAATTATTTTTAAAATATGAAGTGTTTGTTAAATCATGATTATCTATACACCCTTCTAATAAACAGTTGTGGATGAAATGAACTTTTTTTGTATTATCAACTACTGATAATGGAAAGACACGTTGCTACTTTTTATTATTAGTTGATTGAATCTTATAAATAGGACATTCTAGTAGATTATTTATTTGATTAGTATTTTCAAACCAATCAATCATAATAAATGTATAGAAATGCCTATCATTACTCTTATGCCGAAAAATTGTTTTAATCATAGCAAAGCTTTCTTCCTCTTCTTCTTCCTCAATAGTAACAATATCTCCAAGGCTTAGTGAACATTTTTCAATTATTCTATATTCATTTTCAATCAAATATGTTACATTTTGATAGAAACTTATCGACTTATTAATAAGAGCAGCATTTTGTTCAAAATCTTGATAAGAAAGCATTAGTTCTGACTTGAATTCAGAACTGTTTATTTGAGATGGTATCATTTCTTTTTGGTTTGCCAATAAAATTTTCTTTCATAACTTAATTTTGGACATATATTCAGTTTGTGAAAATACTAAAAAATTATATTATTTTTATTATTAATTATTATAATAGTTTTATCACAAAATTCCAAAAGACATATTCTTAAAAGGACCTTATACTAACAAAGTTAGCTAGTATTAATTATAATGCTAGCTAATTTAGTTAGTATTATATTCTTTCAAGAAAATATCTTTTAGGATTTTGTAGTAAAACCAAAATTAAAATGTCTTACTACTACTTTTTGCTAGAAATATTCTATATAACAATTCATAAAAATAAAAATAAATACCTTCATCATCATTAAACTCATTTTCTTGAAAAACTAGTGAGTTATTAGCAATAAACTAATCAGTAAATAATTTTTCAAGGTTTTGAGAGATTTCAATAAAGCCTTGAATTGAACTTGAAGACCTCACATCAATTCCACTATCAATTAGATGCCTTATAGCAAATAAGGTTGTATAACGTTTTAACAAGTCTAATTCAATATTCTTGCAATTTGTTCGTAGTACTATACTTTTAAAAATTTGATGAACCATTTCTTTTATACCAACTGCTATATTGATAAGATTTCCATATGACTGTGCATGTAATGCCAAATGAGCATTAATATGAAGATTAGGAAGATTCACAAATTCTTCAAAAACCTATTAATAATTCTTTTTTTTTTTTTTTTTTTTTTTTTTTAAGGTGAGGTTTTGCCTTTATCTTTATTAAAATTTGTGTGAGATTCCACA